AGCCAATGTCCACCCATCATTCCCTGGATGCAGCCTGTGCTGTTCCAGTCAACCTCCTCTATGGGACTCCCTCAGGCAGGGTTAGCTCTACGCTCCTTGTAAACAGGAAGCAGTTTTAGAAGTCAAAACCTTTGCCCCTTACCCCAAAAGAATTTGGGTCTCATTTGTTTGAGGGGGGAATGATGAGGTTGGGATCTAGACCAACCCCCCCCCCATAGGAAAAAAACCCAGACTTTACCACATGGCCAAATCTCTGGCTTTCTTCTGAGGTTATAATCACATCAACTGGCCTTTCATTGTGGCTACACCCACTTTCTCAATTCTGTTACCCTTAACCTAGCCTAGCCCTCCATTGTCTTACCTCCCTATGGCCCCAGGCCACTTTCCACTCTTAATTCTATCTAGGCTCCATTCTCTCTGGGCCACTGGATCCAGGTCCCTGGAGTTCTAATACCTCATAGACTACTTGGTCACTCCTAGATCCCTCCCATAGTCTTTCTGTATATAAGGTTCATCTTCTCTCCATTAAGTTGCTTAGATTCTTATAATCTAGCCAAAGCTCACTAATGTTCAGACTCCTTAAGAGTCTGCCCAATATGACTGATGTTCTAATAAACCTTGTCTTTGGCTGAAAAAAATAAAATAAAAAAAATTTGTATAAAGCTAAAAAAAGAATAAATATGAGAAAAAGATATTAAAACTACTCAGTCTTAACCTATTCAGACCATGTATTAATGATAATGAGCTATGGATGGAGAGATATAGACAGAGACTTCATTAATTTCATGTGTGGGACAGAGACCACTACTCAAATTCAAAATGAAGACTTAGTTACCTTGAAAGCAGAAAGGAGCTTATTGCTTTCTCATGAGAAAGGGTATCGCCCCTGGTCACCCTAATGGCACTGGCCAGGGAGGACACATACTAGTACAAGTTGGTTAAAGAAAGCAAGGCTTATTTATACCCTAACACGAGTTCCTCTTTCCAAAACCCCCTTCCCCTTATCCCATTGGCTGGGCTTCAGGGGGCACAATCTATTCACGGAAATCTTCCCCAGCAGCAGAGTATACAAGTTTGCCCAGAGACAAGAAAAGGCAGAAACTCTTACAAGGGCAGGTTGGGGTTAGGGCTATTCTGCTACTGTGCTTAAAGACAGGGTCTGAGGGGGTTTTGACAAGGTCAGAAGGGAGTGTCTTTCAACAATATAATTAAATTCCTTGAGAAGGCCATCTACAACAGGTGCCTCCAATTTCTCTCCTCCCAGTCTTCTTACTATCTGGCTTCTGACCTTCTCTCTCTCCAAATGACCAGTGATCTCCTAATTGCTGCCCTTTGTGAGAACTATTAACAAGAACTATTAACCCTTTGAGAAGGCTTCACTTCTGAGAGATCATCTCTCACATTTTATATGAAGGTTTAAAAAATGTAAACTAATTGCTACAAGGTGACCAAAAGTAAACAGTTGATTTATTTGTCCGGTGGAGAGATATGGCAGCTAAGGATATTACCAATTTAGATCATAATCTAATCTATAAAATTAGATAAAAGAGGCCCATGAAAAATCACGAAAAGTATAACCTCATAAAAAGAGAGAGAAGCAGTTGAGGAAAGTGTCTAAATAAAGTTTACTGAGAAAGAAGGTGATCATCCCAAAGTTATTTAAGAAAAAAAATGGAAGCAGAGCAAAAAAGTAGAAGAAAAATAGAAATACAAAAAATAGAAAAATAGAAATGACAAAGATTGAATTAGACAAACAGGATAGAGAATATCCATGCTGAAAGTGACACAAATGTGAAGCACTGTGCATGAATTCACAAGTTATAAAGGAGGAGAAGACACTAAAAGCATGGGGGGGGGGTGGAATCTGTACCTAATTAATACCTCAAAAAGTGAGAAGGGAATAAAAATTGCAGAACTATGACAATTTTCCTATATGTTAGGTATTTTACAAGAATATCTACACACAGATCAAAGACCTTGTTGATGACAATAAGGAACTGGCAGTTTTCACAAGCAAAATTCCACAATAGATCACATCTTTACCATTACAAAATTGGCTAAAAATATGTACAACATATGAATCCACTATGATGACTGCTTATTGATTATGTTTTTAAAGCATCTGTGGAGTCTCTGCAAGAATTTTGAAACTTCCTTGAGGTATTGAAGGGTAGATTGGATTACAGCCCGAAATTTCAGTCTGAAGGCTGTTGAATAACCTAGATAACTTCTGTGTGTGTCTGTATCTGCCTCTATCTCTACACATACACACAGTTTGTATGTACATGCATATACATATGTAACATAGATATAATATACTCATGTATACTGTATATGTGCAAATATACATATACATGTATATATGCATACACTGGTGGGCAAGATGTGTGTGTGTGTGTCTATGTGTGTGTGTGTATGTATGAACATGTAGAGAATGTTGGGCCCCAAATTAAAAAAGGAATAGAAAAGACTGTACTCCATATAAACTGCTTATCAACTCTTTTCATCCCAACTGCCACTCCTACTTACAATTCAGGTTCCCAGAACTTGGCTACTCCTCTCTCTTAGCATTCTAAGAGAACTCCTGAGGGATCAGGGATTCTCCGGATACCAGTGGCTCAAGGATTCTCAGTATTCGCTGATGCTACTGGCTTGAGTCTATACCAGTCAGCTTGCCTCCAAGTTGAGTATCTTTTAGTTAACCAGTCTTAGAAAGTTTTTAGAAAAGTATATTTATTAAGGTGTTACAATAAGAACAGTTTGTGTACAAAAATACTCCCCCCAAAGTATGTGACTACATTCTCCTACAAGTACATAGAGGGAGAAGTGGGCTCAAACTTAGAGTACATATGGTAAAGGACGCATGGATCATTGTTGCTAGAAATCCTTTTCTCCCATCTGGGGTTTGATTTCTCACAAAGTTCCTTTCAAGTATAGTAGATCTGAGTTCATCTTCCTCGGTTGCTAATGTAGAGACAGAAGATAGTTAATCTGGGGATACTACGAGGACAGTAACAGTGTTAGAAATAAGGCCTTAGAGAAATTAAGCCTTCTAGTTAAAAACGAAACTAAGCTCGGAGTGAGTGGAGATTCATTTATTTTACGGTTCTTGGGAGAACTGGGAAAAACCTCTGGGAAGAGATTACACTGATTACAGAATTAAGAAAAAGTTTTATACTGCTAGAACGCTGTGACTCCTCCCTTCCAGGCCCAGATTGGTCCGTTCCTTGCCAGGTTACAATCTTACACATCCACTCATCCCATGTCCCCTTGACCTGCCTCCCCCATCCCGCCTCATCCAAAAGCCCATGCCCTTTGTCCTACTTAGGGCTCGTTAAAACTGCATCTGCCCTCTAGAACTTTGGGACCCTTCTCATTGACTTGCCCTTTCAAGGTTTTACAAGCTTGTTAAAACAATGTAACTTCTTTGCTGATGTTGAAAGATGTCAAAGGTCATCATAAATTGTGGGAGCGTGATACCTTGTCCCTTACAACAGGAAGTCTGAAATTTCCCAGACTTCTTGAAGTTTGAAAGGTCCCCCCCAACCCCTGCCAAGGAATGTGTTGGGGTGGGGGTGGAGAATTTGAGGTTAGAAAAGGATAAGACCTGATCAAGGCTAAGGTCAAGACCTCTCCTTCTTACCCAGGTTATTGTTCCTCAGAGATGTTCTAGAAAGCCTAGAATACAGACCTTACAATAAGTTCTCAAAAGCTTTTGAACTGGAATGTTATTGCACAAAGCACTATGCTAGGTTACATACTGGGAGATATAACAGGAAACCTTACTTTTTATCTGGAAAAGATGAATCTTCCTTACTCCAGGCCCAGTACTCTATCCCGTCTGCCACCTAGCCGCCGCCCCACGCCCCACTCAGTGCAAGGAACCTTCTCTTTAATTGGCATTTCAAAAACTCTAAAGGCTAATTATGTAGCTGTAACAAAACACTGGGCAAGCTGCTTGCCCTCTCTAAACCTCAGTTTCTTCTTCTGTAAAATGAAGTGGTTTTGCTAGATTATACCTGAAGTCCTTCCAACTCAAAACTTCTATGATTACCTAGAATGTAGGCTTATACAAAGTCAACTTTTATCACTCCCTTATGATCCACTTACTGATCCTAAAAAGTACATGCTCCAATAAACTACTTAGAGGTTTTAGTTCAATGCAATTACACAGCTTTTAAGAACCTGAAGAAAGCAGCATGCAATTTATAGGAGAAGTAAAATATTTTAATTAAATGTAGAAGATGCAAGCATGCCTCAAATTATGGGACTGTTATCTAATACTGATAATGATAGCAATCATTATTTTGGTGACAGTACTGTAAAACAAAACTTTACCACCTAAGAATAAAGAAAGAAAAAACCTTGCTTACTACTATATGTTCCAACATATCAGCAAATAAATAGGTAAATGGAAACACTTGCAGTAATATTTTTGTATATTTATTCACCAGTATTAAATTTGTCTACCATTGAAATGACATTGCCTTCTGTTTTTTCCATTTCAACATTTATTAAGGACCAGTTAGATTCTGGGGATATAGATACAAAAAGGAAAAAGATCCTGGATTTAAATGGCTTACTGGGATACAAAGAAAACATACACAAATTAAACAAATACAAAATTCATGCAATGTAAATACAATATAATTTAGTTAGGGGTGGGAGAAAGGTTTAGGAAACCATAATTAGGGTAGGCTAGCAATTTTTACCTCTCTAAAATTATATTGTTATATTATCTGCATATTTGGATCACACTATGGATCCTCTCAGGAAACTTGCAGCATTAAAATCTTATGATTTTTTTTTTATAAATTAATGGAGGAAAGTTCACAACAATATTAGCCCAAAGTCAGTGAGTATTACAGATGTGATAGAGGAATAATTATGATCTTTGACAGGTAGGTCAAGTAGGTACAATTACTTTCATATAGCAAAGTACACAGGGATTGAAGGCCATTTGGCCAATAAGTCTGTACATATTTCTCGATAATTCTCAATTAGGGGCAGATTGTTAGAGAGCCATCATTCATCAAAACTTTCTTAGAAAGAGAGAATAAGGGCCTCAGAGGTCCTAAGAATGACACAGTAGGGAAAGTATAAATAAGATAATTTTCTCTCACATGATAAAATGATATCTCTCGATGATCATAGTCGAGGAAAATCCCAACCATTTTTAATTCACTGATCTGGAGGTATCTCACACGGATTTTTTGATGAATATGGTTCTCAGATATGGCATAAAGATAGTAGCGATTGTTTTCAGGCAGAGCCATAAGTGCAAAATAGCCATTTATCAGGGATGATACTCTACAGACACCAACACACCAGCAAGTATGGCCTGGCACGTTCACCTCCCAATAGTATCTCTTTGAAATGAAGAACTGAGTACCAAGAACAAGGACCAACTCTCCAAATCTCCTATTGCTGCTGGACTCCTTCTCTTCTATTCCTCCATAGCTCACACTTTTCAAATCTTCAGATATGATGAGATCTGGACTGGCTGTGCTAGGATCTAGAGTGATGTCCACTTTGAAATTGGAAATTGCTTCTATAATTCCAGGGATGGGACAAGCAATCCTCCTGATGTGGAAATTTTCTATTTCTTCACTAAGCACAGATTCGTTTCTTTTTAATACTCTTGTCACATTCTGGAGCAAATCTACATCAGGTTTCTCGCACATCTCCTCTAACTCTATGATTCTCTTCCTTAATTCTTGACTCTGGTTCGATAGTCCTCTAATTCTCTTCTCCAGGTCATCCAAATTGGCCCTTCCCTGTGTTTGCACAGTTGACAGACACTCATTCTCCTCCTCATCCAGGAACTGTTGTGCTTTCTGGAATTCAGACAATATATTTTTCTTTTGAGTCTCTATCTCTTCCTCCAACATTTTGAATATGGCCTTCCCATTAGCCATCTTTTGTGCAACTTTCTCACTTTTCCTCCACAAATCATTCACAGTTTCGTCGAGTTTCCCCCTGAAGTCCTCAGCAGCCTCATGAATACAGGAGAGTATGTGAGCTTCATGCTTCTGGGACTGAGAGCAGGACACACAGATCGGGCTGTGGTCATCCCTACAGAACAGCTTCTGGACTTCCTCATGTACCTCATACTTGCCATGCCCTTCAGGGTTCTGCAAGGAATGGGGTCTTGATTTTTTGGCAATGGCTGCCAGTTTCCCGAGACACACATTGACTTGGAAATCCTTCAGCTGGGAGACACTCCTGCACTCTAAACAGTAGAAGAGGGGAAAAGCTTCCTGACAGTTCCTGAGAAGGCAACTTTGACAAAAACTATGGCCACACTCAATGGTCACAGGGTCTGTGAAGTACTCCCTGCAGATGGGGCAGATGAGCTCCTCCTGGAGATCTTGATACAAGTCTGTGCAAGAAGCCATGTTCTCCTGTGTTTCTCCTGGGATTTTTTCTTCAGTCTCACAGTTCTCAGTCTTTAGCTCTGCTCTCAGTAGGGGGAATATCTGAGTCTGCCTTATACCCAGGTTTATATAGGGCCTGGCACCCAGAAGCCCCTCCTTCCTTTAAGGTGTGAATTCTTTTGATCTTCTCTTGATTCTGAGACGTGTTCACACCCTACAAAGTTCTAAGTGGTAGAGACAAAAACCAAGGGATTCACAGCCCACAGCAGCTCTAAGAAGCTTGTTTGGGTTACGGAGTTCCTAAAGAGTAAACTTAGCTGGCTGAGAATTTGCAAGTATATAGAAATGATCTCTAGTGATTGGCTTTTGTACAAGTACAAGTTTAAATTTGAGATATGAGTCCTGGTAAATTTTTAATTAGTGAAACTTGCCATCTGATGTAAAAGCTCATGGGACCACAACAAATTGTGTTTTGAGTTGTCCGATGGATCACAAAAAATCCATCCATAATCAATAGTCAATAATCCACCATCTGAGAAAAATGCCACAAGCTACTCAGAGAGAATGTGACTATTACAGGTGGAGGTCTGCATCTGGAAATGCTCTTGGCACTAGGGAATTGGGAAAACTGCAAGTACTCCCTTCCCTCTACACCCCAAGACTCCTGGGAACTCTAACTCAAGGAAGTAAAAGGTTATTTGGAGCTGGGAATTGTCACCAAGTGTCTTTTAAAAAAAGTAGATCTATGGATTATAATAATCTTTCCCTTTATGGTGCTAAGAGTATTGGATTTTAGAAATTAAAATGTTACCTTAGTGGTTACGAATCCAGATCTGAATTACTCATACAACTAAATTAAGGTCATTTGATTGGTAATGAATTGGTTTTGTTTCAGATTTTAAATACTCGATAATTGCTTGTGGTGTGGCTATATTTCTAAATTTTCTTGTATTGTGTAATTTGGTTAACAATTACATCACCTGTGTTGTTAGAAAAGCAATTTCTCTTATAATCTAGATTGTATTGTAAGAATTGTACTATCAGATTATGAGGTTGTTAACTAAGACTAAAGATTTTTGGAACTATCTAGTCATAAATTCTCATCAACACTGTGCAGTCTTCTATACTGGAATTCCTACTGAGTAAATTTTTAAAGGCCTGGTAAACTTTGTTACTGTTATAAGGCTAGTAAGTTCTTACCTCAGAAAAAAACTGAACTTCCTAAGGTAAACACCTTTTGGTACTTAGGAATTTGTGATTATGGAGAATTTTGGCTTTATGGCACTTTGGGAATTTGTGGTACTTAAAAGACATTTTACACCAACTTGGTTTTGATAAATTCCAATCTTTAAGGTTTCCAGCTAATTTACTTCATGAAAGTTTAGTGATTATTTCTTTAACATCAGGATAAATCGTAAGCTTTTTTTTTTAAGAAAGGGAAATACTTTTTACAAAGAAATGTTTTGCAAAATCTTTTTGTTTGATTCTTAGAAGGCCTACTAAATTTCCATTTGCAAGCTAATTTGTTGCAATAGTACCTTGATATTGATAATAATTATGTCCAAGTCTACTGTGAATTTTCCAAGTTTCATTCCGAGGTTTGTTGTATCCTTGGATGGACTTTAAATGGGTGCTTTCAGAGAAACAGATGGTTCATGCTTCAGGTACCATAAGAAAGAACACTGGTCTCATGAATGTAGGTCTGAAAGGCTCAGTGCCCCACTCTAAGTTTTTAAGGGGTAGACCTAGGCAGACCTAGGTCTAGCTAAAACATCTTAGCAGATTCTGGAAGTTTTGAGATTGATCATTAAGGAATTTTGTAACAAACTCCTTACAATCTTGCCACTTCCCTCCCCCTGAGTCAAGAGGGTATCTCAAGGAGGGGACTCCTAACAGCCCAGGGTTTTTTCTGTTAACCCCTCTCATCCCAGATCAGATTAGGAAAAGAGAGTTTCACCCTTCCACCCCCACCTGCAAATTCACCTTCCCCCACCTGGTGAAAGGAAGGAGGGGGAGGGGCAGCAGTAACAGACTGGAAGTCTGTTCTAGTACACAGCTGTGGAGAGAGAGTTAAGGGGGATGGGTCAAGGTAAAGAAGCCAATCAGCGTCTGCACTTGTTAAGTCTACTCAAGTCTGTGCCAGAGGCCATGTTCTCCTGTGTTTTTCCTAGGATCTGCCTATTCTATCAGTAATTTTTATATGATCTGGAAACGAAGTTGTTGTCCTCTGAAGTTTATTGTTTTGTGTTACGGCTAAAAATTTTGTTATGACTTATGAGATTTGTATTGTTTTAATGCTAAAACCTAAAGATGGTAATTGATTAGTGTGTGTGTGTGTGTGTGTGTGTGTGTGTGTGTGTGTGTGTGTGTGTGTGTGTGAGATCCACTCCAGCCTGATATCTCCCCCTACCTCCTCCTGGGGTTCATGGTTTCTTCCCTTCTTTCCCCCATTCTGATTCAGTTATTAATCATTTTACTTGCTGTTATATTTGGTCCATGCTTGTTTCACCTCCTGGTCTGATTTGTGTCTTCTCGCCTGCAGAAATTCCACTTTCAACTCTTAGGATATCAACCACTACCCTTGATGTCCCTGAATGGTTTGCCTCTCTCCACCCTGGATTCAGCTGGCACTGCATTCTGCAACCCCACACTGACCACCCCTTCTCAACCTCTTCTGGGCCCTGGAAATGAACTCTTTACCCCTGTTCAGCAGGAAACAGCTACTGAAGACAATGACCTTCACCCCTTCCCCCGCCCCAAAAGATTTCTCCGGCCTCGTGGTTGAATGGGGAAATTATGTAAATACCCTAAACACTTAAAAAAATTAATTAAGAGTTGTTTTTCCAGTACCTTGTGAGGCCCCTCATGAGCTTGAGGGTGTCCTAGAGTCTCTTCCCCTTATCTTGACATACCATAAAACGTCCCCCCTATCCTGGATCATGAAAATTCTTTGTCTCCCTCATCCTGAGACATAAAATTTCCCCTGTCTTCCTTATCGTGGGTCCCCTATCCTGTCATCCATCTTCCTCATCCTACGTCCTGAAAATTCCCCTTATCTTGTAAGATAAAACAGGCCCCTATCCCTCTGAAAGTTGCTAGTCCTCTTTCCAGGGCTAGCCCGATGCTTTTGTATAAATAAAGCTCCCATAGTTACAGAGAAGGTCTAAAAAAATTCTTTCACACCTGAACCAGCTCTCCCAACTCTAAACCTCAACACATGGATTGAGTCAGAGTTCACACTGCTCACCTAGCCCTTTCACCTCATTTGTCTCCACATAGTTTCATATCTTCATCTCTGTTTTAAAAGTTTTTTGAAAAAATAATATAATCCAATGCTCTGCAAATAGAATTATTAACAACTAAAATAATCACATTTGCTTAGAGGGATATGAGAATGTCTGGGTAGCAGAGTAGAGATTTTCCCTGGATGTTCTTTGAAAATTTTTAGTATGAAGATTCTTTTGAAAGAATAACATTCATTAATAACTTTTATTTTTATAGCTCCTTAATTTCTGTAATTCTTGCTTTTCAATATCCAACGAGAGATCCTGGGAGGCAAACAATAAAGAAAAGAGAAACAAGGGGGGAAAATAGTTCTTTAAAACTATTTAACATACACACTAAATACATTCAGCATTTCATGCCAATTTTTGCTTTCCTTTCTAAAGAAGGGAGGAGAAGTACATTTCTTCATCTCTTCTTTGGGGCTAGAGTTGATCGTTATAATTCTACTACCTTAAATTTATTTCGTTGTGAGTCTTTCTGTTTATGTTTACATTTATTCTCTATATCTTTTCCTGGTTCTGCTTACCTAATTTGATATTAATTCATATAAATTATCCTTTCCCTCTCTGAATTTCCCACATTCAGCTTGAGTATAGTACAATATGGTAGGCAAACTATATTTGCAATCTCTCCATTCTGAGTTAGTTGTAATACAACACCTTTGATCACTGTGGTTATTAGAAAGATTAGGATACAAAAAATTTCCAGGGGCTGCCATGACTGCAGAATTCCCAAGTTTCACATGGAATACTCACCAAGAATACTCAAAGTCTATACCACTTCCATGGAAATAAGGCCAGAAATAATAAAATGCAAGGTAAAAAGTTAGAGCATGATCACAAGGAAGTAGGAATAAAGGTAGCTGAGGATTTCTTCAATGCTCACATAGAGGTTGTGGAGCTTATTCACAGCTACATCAAGCAAGGTGATGAATCTCAACATTGCCTTCTCAAAGGCAATGTCAGAATACTGTAATTTCTGAAAGGTAATGCTAAGCTGAGTAGCCTTGAAGTGAAGGTCTGGCATGAACTGTATGTCTGTTTTCTAAAGATCAGTCTTGCTAAGTTTGGAGAAGCTAATCAACAGAAGGCAAGCCACAAGGTTTTGTTTTGTTTTTTTAAGACACAACAACTCAGAAAAGACAATCTGTAAACTCTTAAAAGGGCTGTGAATAGCACTGAAGCAGAGGATCTCCAAACTAAACAAATCACAGATTCGTAAAATATGCATATGATGGTGTATATATAATTTTTTAAAATTTAAATTAAGGGTCTTGCCCAGGGTCACACAGTTAATAAATGTCAAGTGTCTGAGTCCAGATTTGAACTCAGGACCTCCTGACTCCAAGGCTGTAGCTTTATACACTGCGCCGCCTGGCTGTCTCTATAGTTCTTTTAAAAATATTGAATATTAATGGAAACTATTTGAAGGTTTTATTATTTGAAATCAAATGAGAAAAACATTTATATGAAGCACAAAAGAATCATCTTCTTGTTTTTTTTTTAAATTAAGAAGTCATTTTGGTGCCCATAATATTAGAATTAGATTTTAAAAATCAAAACAGTCCATATGGACAGAAAGCTAACTTTAATTTTTTGAATGAAATTTAACAGGCTTTATGGAAGAAATCTGTGTGGTAAGTGAGGAGAGATCCAACCTCAAAATCAGGAATATCTGTTTCACCTCCTGCCTCTGGCACTGGAACTATGTGACCCTGGACAAATCATTTTACTTCT